TTAGTTTAATGACATTTTATTTGATAGATTTCATTATCTGGTGTTGCTTGTAATGCACATGCAGAAACATGTGTAAATTTGCCAACATTAATGAATCTTCTGTGTCATGTCTATGGAAAACGTCCTTGTGATGAATGGTTTGGAATTTAAGATGGCATCCAACTCATCCAAGGTATACTTCTCTCACTTCTTTGAACTTTTTACTCATTTTATTATTGAATGATAAAATCCTCAAGCAATTTTCAAAGATCCTGCAGGGGAAATAATACATTGGTAAGTTGCTTCTTATTATCATCGATTATGCATTTAATTATGTCGGTTTGAAGTTTAATTATATGTTTTTAGATCATACCTTACTTGATTATTTCTCTCGATTAGGTCATGTATGATGCTTACACTCTATTTGGTGATCCTACTCTAACAAACAAGCAGTACAATTCAATCAAGATTTTTAGCAATCCCGATATTGCTACTGGAAAACCATGGTAATAATTTTTGAGAATTGAATCGTAATATGATTTCTTTCAAAAAAAATTTTGGAATTTCTCATGCGTTGAATTTATATTTTTCACGTTTAAGGTATGGTATTGAGCAAAAGTTCAGCCTTTTGCAAAAGGGATGTTAAGTGGCCCATTGAATGGCCTCAAGGAGGTTATCCCGGGCCTCAGGGAGGTTATCCCGAACCTCAAGTATAACATTATAATGTACAAAATATTAGCTGTTTATTATCTTTATATTGACAAAAAATTCTAATTTCAAGTCCTTTATTTATGCATTATAATAATATCGAGATTCATGTATTTAATTGAGAAAGAAGCAATTTGTATGCCACTGTTGCTCGACTGTGCCAGTCCCATAGCCAACATACCGCATGTTGGAGATAAGCTCTTTTACTTTCCTCAAGGTCACAGGAGTATAAATGTGAAATTCAATTGCCTTTCTGTATAGTTGATGAAGTCAAAATTAAATGAGAACAACATAGTCGTTCAAAAGTGTGCATATGATTACATATATGGCACGAGGGATTAAATAGTTTTATATGAAATTCTTTTAATAAGCTATTAAGCGGTATTTTGGATTAACATCTCGACAATTATATTTATGCGAAGTTATGACATGAGTTTACTTAAATTGTATATTCATGGTTGGTTCTTTGTCAAAAATATACTTGTTGCATTTTACCTGAAGCAAATTTTTGAGGCAATGACAGTTGCAATTTGGTAACAAAGACCAGATTTTGTGATGCTTTAGATATGATACACGCCAATATACCTGAATTACTCAGCACCATATAGGCAGATGTTGAGTTATATTCCATGATTTCATGTGGAGTTACAAACAAGTAGGTGAGGCACTCTTGTGGACTATTAGAAAATATGGTAACAGAATTTTGTTAGAGGAATTTGACAAAAAACCTAATTGAAAAAAGAAAGTTAAAAAATATATTCTCTTAGGTAGACTTTTTTATCGCATAAATATTTTCTTTTTTTCCCCCACTTTACTTATTTGTCCTATTTTTGTTGATGAATTATTTGCACTCTTTTAGTTTATTTATACTGATTAGTGAAAAAGTAAAAAACTAGGCATTCTTATAATGGTTATACCTTGGAATATCTTTTCAAAATTATCATGCATTTAATTCAAAGACTAGCAGCTTCTAGTGTGTTATATATTAATATTTTGATCGTTCATACAATTTTCTTTATCTAATATGTTGTATTGTGAGCTACTCAATAAACTCATTTGATTTTCATTATGATCAATCTACATCTGATTGGACTATTGTCTCTAACGTAAATGAGATTACTGTGTTTGTGTTTTTCCATGAATCTGTGTGTATGTTGTGTCAACTTAGGCACTGAAGTGGTTGGGGTTAAAAATGTGGCTTTTGTTTGCAGATTCAAATTGAGAGTTGCATATTTACAAACAGTTGGATAGGTTCTTGAAGTTGCTTTCTCATAGTTACATAAAAATGTCTTTGCTTAGCCAAATGAAATCTTTCTGTAGAACATTATCTCGCACGTTTGAACTACGAGTATTGTTTCGATGAATAAATAATTTCAAATAACTAGAGTTCAATTCCTGGCAGGGAAATGTATGATTACAAAAGTAACAAAGTATTGTTTCTATATTATATAGTTATTTAACCACTTGAAATTGTAGCTTTCCTTGGAAGGGACAAAACTGGGGTATATTTCATTTTTACGTTGGAAATATTGCTGCTATTAATCTTGAAAGGTGGGATGGGAAGTCCTAAGATGGTAAGATTATAATAAAAGATTTTTCTTTTTTGTTAACCTAACTTGGAGTTTGACAAACCTAATATGTTAACAAGACAAAAATACAATTTCTTGTAGCAATTCAAACTACGAAGTAACACAAGGTTTGGATTATTTTGCACTTGGCTTCATCTTTGTTGAAGTTGTTGTTAGAGAAACTTCATTAAGAATCGACAGATAGAGCTTTTCAATCTAACTTCGATTTGTTTCATTTATTTTGTTTTATTATATATTAACTCTTTTTCTAAACAATAAGTATCATATACATTTTTACACCTCACATAAATTTGTCGTTCTATTGCCACCTTGTGACTTTGTAAATGTATTCTATAAACTTGAAAAGAATCTACATTTTTGTTTACA